AAAGGAATAAAGAAAAAATGCCACAGAGCAGTCTCATAAGCATCTCTTTAACAGAACCATCAACTTAAATTTCTCTTGGTGTAATATTGCTAAAATATACTGATTCTTGACTAATTGAATAATATATACATGTATATATGGTTTTACACATGATACAAATCTACCTTAAGTGTTTGTTATAAATGTCTCTATAATAGTCTTATCGAACTATATTGCATCAGTCCAGAACCAAACTTACGAAATATATCAAACTTAAAATTATATTACCATAAACCACAATAATGTATATGAAAATAGGCACCAAAAATCTACCTAAACGGTTTGTTATAAATGTCTCTATAATAGTCTTATCAAACTATATTGCATCAGTCCAGAACCAAACTTACGAAATATATCAAACTTAAAATTATATTACCATAAACCACAACAATGTATATGAAAATAGGCACCAAAAACTAGCTTCAAGGATCCCAAGTGCGCAGAATCTAACTTTTAAGAAGTTACATTCCAAAATGACAATATTAAATCGAAGAAATATGGCTCTGACTGTAACTTACGGAAACTACAAAAATAAGAAATTGACATGAATTCAACTTGATTTAAGAGATATGGCTTTGACTTAAAATCTCAGAAATCAGAAATATAACATCAATTTACAGATAAATATGACACAGAAAATCTGTATAAGATTAGTATCACAAGAAGAATCTTTCAAAATAAATCAATATAAATGGCCTAAATTTAGTTAAAAAGAAGTTTCTATCATGTTATGAATATTTGTGCACCATTGGTTTAATGAGAATTTGCCTTTTTCTGAACCATTTTTCTGTACTTGTGAGTTCATTTCTCTCTTATTCTTCAACTTATCCTAATTTTTTCAACATAAATATATAAGCACTAGTGCCAAAGGGAAAGGACAAAAAGTTGTAATGGAACTTAGCAAGAAAAAGCAAACTCTAAGTGCATACCAGTGCATACCCCCTTTCCCCCCGCCATTCAAGAACCAATATCACAATCCAAGACCAGAAGAGCAAGGGACATTTCATTCATACTGAAGTCATTACAATACATGTTGAAGAAAAAATTAGAAATTGATAGCCAATACTCATAACCTCAAAAATTGTTGTAGATACCAGTACTCATACAAGATACAGCATTCAGTCTCAAATGATGTGGGATAGATAAAATCCAGTCTCCAAGTCCATAGGCGTTTCAATGGGTCAACATCCATTCACAAAAGCCATCGCCATAATCTATAAAACACGATAATTCACAATGGTCATCAGGAGAAAACTATGGCTGGTTTCGATCCCTATTTCTCAACCATTAATGCCATAGCCGGGATCCACCTCAAAAGGTGCCAAGTGAAATATTGTGAGTTCATTGCCAATGTCTTAAACAATTCCCACATCCTTCAGCATCTCAAGTGGTAAAACTTGAAACTTCGAAATTAATGATTTGTATTTTTCAGCAAAGCCCAGAAAGAATTTCTTAAGCTTTATAGAATTATAACCTTGACCTAACAGTTTGATCACTAAAGTATTGTGTCTTGACTTAAAATCTAAATGTTTAGAGCATGCCCTGCCATATCTAATAAGCTGGGATACATAGACCCCATATGCTAGATTTAATGGAATATTACTGTCTAAATGGGGAAAATTCACAATATCAAAGTTGAAATCATCTCGTTTATCATACAACTTACAATATATACTGTTGTCTTGTTCAATGTTAATGATAAGGTCAAGATAAGGCGCATTCATGTTCGATTCATTGGTCTTTTTAACTCTAACTTCGAAGGGTATATCTCATTTACAAAATTTTCAAATCCAGGGTTGTCCAAACTCAACAGGTCATCTATATACCTATCTGTTTTATTAAAAAGTTTAGCTATGTGGAATTTTGTCTTATCTTTCATCATCTTTTGCAAAAACTTATATTCATATGAGAATAGAAAAAGGTCTGCCAAAAGAGGAGCACAATCTGTCCCCATTGGTATTCCTATATTTTGACATAAAACAGTATTTCCAAACTTTACATAAATGTTATCAATCAAAAAGCCTAAAACCTCACAAAGTTTTATTGCAGTAAAAGAAATAAACTTTTCATGTTGATCACTAGAAAAGAAAGCTCTATTTGAACTACAATTTACGAATTTAAATCTACTACCTTTCATTGTGTTTTTAATGATACCAAATATTTCCTCTTTCAATTTGTTATGGGGAATTGATGTGTAAAGTGTGGAAAAATCCCATGTGGAAATACATTTAACTTTTTAATAATTAGGTTGATCAAATTTAGATAAAAGGTCCTTCGAATTTTTAAGGATCCACATATGGTTAACCCCAGAATTTCTAAAAATAGCATTACAGTAAGACTCCCTATTATTTTTAACAGCTTGGAGACACCTAGTCAATAGCCCAGAAACCTTTTTAGTAGAACAAACCCTAGAACCAGCAATAAATCTAGATTTATAAGGGTCTTTATGTAATTTAGGTATCCAATAAATTTTAGGCAAATGTTCTTGTTTCTCTGTTGGTTTGATCTTGTGTCTAATCAAGAAGTCTAAATGATTTTTGACTATTTCAACTTCATTAGCATCAACCTTAACATACGTTTTAGTACTTGTATATTTGTTTGAAATGTCCAATTCTGTCATAATAATAGACAAATAGAATTTTTTACATGTAACAATAACGTTATTTGACGCTTTGTCTGTTGGGACTAAAACAAATTTTTTATGAAAATTTTCTAAATATTCAACAACTTGAGGGTCATCTAATACCTTGTCATTAGATTCAAACTTTTGACCTTTAAGTTTAATTATTTTACTATTAACAATATCTTTGACATTAAGTATCCACTCATCTAATGAAGATTTATCAGCATGCTCACGTCTAATCCAATCGTTAGCATATTTTTCAACAGCATCAAAATTTTTTTTTTTATATCTCCATAAAATTGTATTCTGTTCACGAAATTTAGGACCTTTTTTAATCAGATTTCTTGATCAGATTTTTTTTAATCAGATAAAATAGATAATGATGTGTGCTATCAACTTTATAAGGGGCCTTTAATAAATCGATTTGATAAAAACTGGTGAGGTGGATATTAATACACTTTGCAATTAATGTATGTATGTCATAATCTGTCTTTGTTTAAGTGTAGGGCATCCAAAGTCAACTGTACTTACTATTATATTGGTACATAAGTTCAAGTAGATAAGCGAAATTAAAAACATGACATACAAAGGTAGTTTTTAAATATCACCTGGCTTGAATTAGAGTACTTGATACATTTGGTATAAAGGGCCAGACAGATAATAAGATTTTAAATAAAACTAGAAAAACAGCAAGGCCATGGACTAGAGAATACCCCCGAACAACACATATTTTATAATAAATTATTTTGTGATGGACATAATACTATTAACCAGGCAGTATTAGTGCCTTTTTAAGGAAAAACTACTTTGTTGTATATTATTCCATTTTGAATTTAAAAACTATTTACAAAAATGAACTTTTACAGAGAATATGGACCATTTGAATTTGAATTTCTTTTTGAGATAGTGAGCCTATAAAGTATATTTTATTTAAAAACATGTATAACCGAAGTGATTATTTAAAAACTATTTACAAAAATGAAGTTTTACAGAGAATGTGGACCGTTTTTAATTTTGAGGAGAGTTTGAATTTCTTCTTGAGATAGTGAGCCTATAAAGTATATTTTATTTAAAAACCTGTATAAACGAAGTTGATTTAGAGGCATTAAAGATGTAGCTAAACTGTAATTTTTTGGTAGCTTTGAATTAAGCAACAATTTTGAATGTAAAAATGACTGATAGGTACACACATACTAACAGCTTTTATTCAAACAATATTTAAGTTAAAGTAGAAATTGTATTAAAAATTAATGTCACTGGAATTTATTGTGTAATTAGTCTAGTTTAATAGTCCAATAAATTACATGCCAAACATATATTTAAGTTTCTGGTTAAGTTACTTTGAACACAGCTTAAACATATCATTTAACGTCACAATTTTGTCAAAAAATTATAGCCATTTTGAATTAGGACATTTTAGAAATTCCTTTTGTAAAGAGATAGCAATTCATACAAAAATTTGTAAAGACACATTCAAATGTTGCTCTTTTAAGAAGAATGACAGCCATTGAAAATTGAATGGCAATATTGAAAATTCCTACATCAATCAATAAAATTTAAATCAAGTCAACCAACCAGTTATTATGATTGCATTTTTAAGGAAAATGGAAAATTTGTGGTGACCATATTATACAAATATTGAATTATGTGGAGTTGAATATCTGTATATTGTACGCCTGGTGTTTTTCGCGTGCGATTTAGTTTCACGCTTTTCTCGAGTATTGCAAAGTCCCAAAAATGTCAGAAAATTGCAGATTAAATCCCCGGGAATTTATTATTACCTGGGGCCCTGATGCCTTTTGTTATGTGTAAAATATTTAGTTTCTCTGCTTTAATGCCAAAAATGACGATGCAATAGAGGTTGATTTGCATATTGGATGAAAATACTTTTTACTAAATTCCCGGGAATTAAGTGATGTGACTTCGTTTGAATTGAATATATAGTGGATTCACTAAAAATGACGTCATTGAATACCTCTATATACTTTTAGTCACACGGTATCTAATCGACCAATGAGAGAACGAGTACCACGGCATGGAGTTATTGTCTGGACACACTTTCAGATGGATGAACAATTAGGCATACGGACAAACAGCTTCTCTATATTTTACTCAATCTTCATCCAATAATGGGATTAAAAAGCATAGACAGTGACATTCAATTGGACTCTGAACCAAATGATGGTAACAAAATGACCAACTTCTTTTTTATCAGATTCGTGTGATCCTGTAAAATCGCTTGGTACTATAATGCTGCCTTTGGTCACTTGGTGCAGTATTTTCAAGTACTACTATTCACTTGATACTTTTCACATATACTTGAAATCAGTCTGTATCGATGGTTACCATGATGTCTGGAAGGATTATACTGCTAGTGGTGGCGGTGTTATGTATCTGGCATGCAGGGCAAGTAAGAGCATCATGTGATTGCAAGCTTAATGCAGCTTCCACAGTAAAGCCAGAGATCATCAACTCAAAACTGGAATCGCAACAACAAATAATTGATGGGTAATTTATTTAATTTTTATGTTTCAATACTTTTTATTCCAGAGTAAAAAATGTTAAAGCAATTACATACAGCATTACAGTTACAAAAAAATTAATAACAGTATACCTTTGGCATATTAAGTGGAAAATCCCAAGATCACTATTTCAATTAAATGTTTCAAGGAATCCTAGACTTCGAAGAAATATTTCTTAACTTTTTGGAAATTAATGAACTATTTCTACAAATAAACATGATGGAAATCTTTGGAGGATTCCTAGATTAACTTATTTTACTTTTTGAATGATTCTTAGATTAACTTATTTTACTTTTTGAATGATTCTTAGATTAACTTATTTTACTTTTTGAATGATTCTTTAATTGTTTTCAAATCCAGCCTAGAGGAAAAGTACCAGAAGATGGCACTAGACAATGCATTGAAACTTGAGCGTCTGAAGAGTGCCAAAGGAGATTCTCAAGAAATGACAAGTATTATTTATCCTCAAGGTAATTGAATCAGATGATAGATTCAAATTATAATACTATGTCAAATGCAATTAAATTACTCTTTTACAGGTATATGTAATATTAACATGAAAGCCATTCATGGGGCAGTGAATTAAAAAGTCTGTATATAGAATATACTTTAATGTTGCTGCTATTGAATATTAAGGAACATGAAAGAGTCAATAATCGAGATATTTCGCTACCACACTCCATATCATGTTTTAAATTCCTTATGTTTATAACGTATAAAGCTTTGTAATCACTTGTCACGCAGCTCTCCATTTATACGGATTCATCACTTATAAAATGCTGTGTATGAATAATCTTGTTTTGACATAGTTATTGGTAGGGAATCATTGTGATATTTGGCATGTAGTCATTACAATGTAATCCACCTTATAAACAAGGAACCAGAGAGAAAAAACGATTCATTCTTGATGAAAAGAACATTAGAACTTCAACTTCAATTCACTTAAACGTATAATGCATAGCTATATACATAAAGTGTGCTCGAACATATGAGCAAAATATCTAATGTAGGGTAAAACTTTTATGTCGCCACTAAAAGTGGTAATTGTTATAGCCTCAAACATTTGTGGGGACAGTTTTTGGCAGTTTGGAGTTTGACATCTTTAACAAATGACAGGTGGTGACATTTTGCATGTTAATGCCTTGTTTTTCCTAATTATAGCTAAAAACCAGAAAGTATTTTAAGCTTCCAAAAGTTATATGGTGATATTTAGCAGGAAATGAATTAAAATGTCTCGCCTTATGCTACACAAGTTTGTTTTTCTATTCTCAGTTAGTAAGTGTCCCAAGAAGAACCATCTGCGCTGCAAAGAATCGGGAGAGTGCATCCATAAACTATTGGTGAGCATAACCTTCACTTCAATTATATACAATACATAAAATATGCAAGCAGAACTGGCCAGGCCTTACAGCAGGCTTTGACAATTAATTGTAACCACTAAATAGAGCAGAAGCCTGGGGAACCTGTGCCCATGTATACTGTTCTTCTACTTAATTTGTCAAATTTGTCAAAATCTGAATATTGGCGGAGATTTAATTTGCCAAACTTAACAGGTCTAAATACCTTTGAAATTGAATAAACTCTACTTACCTACTAATTTTGGATGCAATCTTACTTAGACTTTCAAACATCAAAATGGTCCAATTTATTGGATAAATCTTGAACCAAGATACACCATTTTTCCAAACAGAAATTACATTGGACAAAATTTCCTGGGAATTTCTGAAAAATTGGCGAAGACAGGAATTGGCAATTTTATGCAATTTGCCAAATTAAAACAACAGCCAAAATAACAGTAAAATAACAGTAGCATAGTACCCCACACAAGTTTGTGATAACTTGGAACTGTGATTTCGAGACTGTACCTTATACTATCTGTTATAAACGTTAGCACACATAAGTAGAGGAAATTTCCAACATTATAATTTTTGGGTTTTTATTTTCCTTCAATAACATTAAAAACAGAATCAACTGAACAAAGGGTGTTATTAATGCATTTAAACCAATTTGATGTCATAAGTCAAAATTAAGAATTGCTGATTTTAACAAGTTTACTTACTTATCACTTATTTGAACAATAACACTCCAAAAGTAGGCCTTTGTGGTATTTTGAATAGTCTATGGGTAGTCTGTCAATAAGACAGGTCCATTAACATTTTATTTTGGAAATATACTTGCCCTAGATATCTAGTTGTCCAGTTGTTGTCATGCTTGAATCATATAAATGTTAAAATGTACTAGAGTTTCAATGTCATATTCGTTGAAACAATGTAGCAATTTTGTAAAACATTGGCCACTATGTAGCATTTTGAAATTGCTGCCATTTAACCATTATTAAACATGTGGCTAAATAAACTATTTCCAATGTTGGAAATTGCCTCTAGTTTATGTGTGCTAAATTTGATATCAAATGGTAAAGGATAGTGTGTTCAAATCAAGGGTTTAAGTCATTATAGAAAACTTGTGTGGGGTACTATATAACTTACAATTCAACAAGTTAAAGTTTCACTTTACTCAATTACAGGGCTGTGATGGAGTGTTGGATTGCCTAGATGGATCTGATGAGACTGATAGATGCGGTGAGTTAATATGATTATCCCATCAATAGTTTTATAAGGGCATGGGGTTTTGATTCTTTCAATCACTCAAACTAATAGAGTAAACATTCATTTGGTGTTTCAGGTGGTCTTGATAATCTCATGTTTTGATAAAAATCTTACATCCAGTAAAAAAATAAATTCAGATGAACTTCGAGTTCTAAATCTTAGCCTAAATGATGATGATATTTACCAAGATATTTTTCAAGAAAGTATGGATTTTTGCCTCTAATGCGCTTTTGTAAGGATTTTGAGAACAAGGATAAATTATGCAAGTTATGCATCACAGTGCTGGTATAAAATAAAGACATTAATCTGTTGACAAAGACAAAATAATGATCAAAGGAGTTTTGGCAATATTGCACCAGTAATAGACTTTAGTTCCTATATTTTGTATGTATTTTCATCAAAAATTATTGAGAATTAAGAAAAACAGAGGTGCATGACTAATTCTGGCCCAGTTACTGTGTAAATATTAGGACTTAAAAATTAGACTCTTAAAATTAACTTTCAGTTGATACTTTGGTGCCAGGCAAACCAATCGTAACTGTCCTCCCCAAAAATCAGAATTGTTTCCCAGACGCTGCCTCGGATGTAACACTTATCGGCACAGTAACAAGAACGGAGACATCAGAATTTTTCCCTCAAGTTTTTAAGGGAACTGCCATAGGAGAATATAGTTTTATAGATAGCGACGGAAGGTAAATGCAAGAGTGAATTTTCAAGTGGCTATGTACATCATTGGAGGAGAGTATACAAAATGTAAAATATGCACATTTTGGGGGATATGTATCTAGACAATATAAGAAACTATGGGGTTTCAAACCACTATGGTCATGCCCAGTGATCATGAAAATTGGATGGGGGAGAAAACAATTTCTGCTAGAAAATTCGAAAAACTATTGAATTACTGAATGGATGGGCACACAGTATGATAACATATTTTGAGTCTTCTGAACAGATACACTTCTAAAATATGAGATCTATTAAAAAAAGGTGCAAGGCCATCAAAGTGCACATGTCAATGTTATCATAACTTAATTAATGCCATTGCTGACTTCATAAAATAAGTTTCCATATGTTGTACAGTAAAACCTGCGAACAGGGAATGCTCTTGGGACTGGATGAAAGTTTCCTTGTTCAGAGGTTTTCCTTATAGAGAGGGGCCGCACTTTTAGCAAACTTGCCGAATAAGCATATTTGTATACATATGGGCATTGATTGATTGTACCAATGTTGACTCCATACTTCGTTGCTAGACCTTGTTGTGACATCTTGGAAGATGTATGAAGGTCTCCCACCTCCCTCTATTGGCATTCTCCCTATGTTGATTTTAGCTGCTGCTGCTAGTGTCTAATGATGTCTAGTTGATGTAATTATTGATAGATTTGGCACAACATGACACATGTACTTATCTGTTATCTCCAAAAAACAATTGTTTTGGTCCCTAGATTATCACAACTGATTTGATGTAATTAGGTTTGTCGAAAGGCAGAATTAGTGTCATGATAATAAGGAACAAACAGATTAGTATTACTTTTAAAATATATCAGGGTAATTAACAGTGGGTAGAATGCTACATCTTGTAAACAATTGGCTTATCTTAATCTCAATCATACTAATCCAAGCTTTTTAGAATCAGATATTGGCTTAAGACTTTCACACCTCTGAAAAATAATGGAATATACAGTGTCACCAATATTCCATATTCCTTGTTCACAGGTGAATTTTCATATTTTGCCCCAAAATAGTGTTCCTTGTTCCCTGTTCACAGGTTTTCCCTACAGAGAGGGTCCATCAACATGTAAGTCAATGGAAAAATATTTGGTTCTTTTGAAAAGCATTCCTTGTTCATAGGTTTTCCCTACAGAGAGGTATTCCATCGGACAGGTTTTACTGTATATGTTATCAATTTTAAAATGTTTATATCCTAACTGTTTTTTTAGATTATGTGTATTATAACTGAAATCACCTTTTTAGTAATTGATGAAACGTAACTATTATATAATTGAGCTTCAACATTAATGATAATATATTTGTGAAATCTATACATGTACTGAGGTGTTGATCCTCAGACGCATTATAATAATGTTTGTGCTTTTCATGTTATTTATGTTTCAGGGATATCAAGGGTGTCTTGGAAGTCAGTCTTACCCACTTTGCGGCATCAGGTGAAATGACATGGGACTGGATTGATGACAAGTATAAATTTAGAGGACATGCATTTCAGCCCCTTTTCCTTGAATCGCCACTCATAGCCACTTTATACCATGGATTTGATTTTAAGGAGGTTTGCTCAAATGCAATCTGGCATCCCTATGACGAAATTAAAATATAATGCTTGTTCTAAAATCTAAAATTGGACTTAAGATTAGTTAAGCATCATGAACTGTTAAGACTACATGCAGCTGTTAAATAATAATTATTGACTTACTAACTTATAATCTGATTACATTTGAAAATGTTTTGCTCTTACAATTTTTTACTTCCCACAATTTTGCTCTCACAATTCTTATATTATGATTAAAAAACATTTAACTCTCCCCAAGAATATGCTGTCAAGATAATCATAAATACTTGTAAATCTGAAAATAAAAATCAGGAACATAAAATCATATACATATTTTTGTTAAATCTAAAAACATTTCGGATCAATGTCATGAATATGACATTCAGAAAGGACAATGTCCTTGGACTTTTTACTTAGCATCATTTACACTATGTAAAATCCCATGATTAATACAGTATCATAAACCTATTAAACATACATATCAGTTGTTTTAATTCGTTTTAACCTGTTATCATAGGTTTATGTATAAGACATAATTATAACAATGAATGATACGGACTTTTTTGCAGTTTCTCCTCTGATACTTGTATAATTTGTTTTAATTTGTTATCAGCTGTTATCAGCTGTTATATTCCATCTGGTTCAACTGGGAAAAACATATTATACTGGATGATACATTTCTCTGCTCTTGCGTATAATTTGTTTACATTAGGTTACATGTTGTTGACACAACATGTTGACACTATCTTGTTGACATAGACATATTGAGTGTTTTGATAAAAGCGGGTATTGATAAATTAAGTTTTGACATTTGAAAGTTGTAATGAATTAATATAAATGATTTTTCAAAATAAGTCACCAGAAGTGATTAGTGCAGCAGTTGAAAGATATATTTTAGTTTTACATTTATAACGTGCTTGCAAAAACACGGGCGCCCATTTAGATTATTAGCGGTTTTATTATAATATTGGATTGCTTCAATGCGCTCCATGAAAGAAAAATGTGGGCACTTTATTAATTGAAATCAATATGTCTTAATATTAAAGCTACATTGTTAACGGAGACAACGTAAGACTTCGACATTTTAACCCATTTCAAAATTCGGTGTTTTTATTTTCCATAACGGCTACTAGTATTTGTGTGCCATAGTTATCTCAGCTTTCGGGAATCACGGTTATCGTGATTTAAGGGCAGTTATAAAAATATACAAGGCGATGGTTTAAAATGGACAATTTTCAAAACTGCTCAACTTCACGTTTTTAAAGAATGCTTGCCCGGCGAGGGGTTTGCTATTGCGAGAGAACAAAAACATTGAATTAGGATTTTTCCTAATACGTAATCATTAATACTTAATACTTAATCATTAATCAACAACTTTTATAACCGTCTCTCTGATTAAATATCATGCCAATTAAAACCACGATTGTGTTGACAGGATTAAATGCGATATCTATGGAATAATAATTTAATGAACTCAATAGTCTAAATGATAAATAAGTTCATAATTTAGTCTTGGCTGACTAGTCTTGTATCATCAGAGTTGGATTGCAAATACCTCCCTAAATCAAATATTTATAATTGTTTTTATGTCTCTGATCCAACCACTAAAGTTTAAAAGGAACACTATAGTGTCCCGTGAATTTATTAGACTCCAGATTGAAAATCTGGAGTCTATTGTTTTTGCCAGTATTCTTATTATTATTAGACTCCAGATGAAAATCTGGAGTCTATTGCTTTTGCCAGTTTTCTTATTATTAGACTCCAGATATCAATCTGGAGTCTATTGTTTTTGCCAGTATTCTTATTAGACTCCAGATGAAAATCTGGAGTCTATTGCTTTTGCCAGTTTTCTTATTATTAGACTCCAGATGAAAATCTGGAGTCTATTGCTTTTGCCAGTTTTCCTATTATTCTTTCTTTCTTTCTTTCCGAACACTTTTTCTCAGCAACTAGAAGAACTTACTTAAATCTGATAACATAGTCAACTAGGTAATGAAACTTAGTTTCTGGGAAATTAGGTCAAATGTTTATCTAGGTCAAAGGTCAAGAACTAGGTCAAATCGTGGGTTCTCACTATTTTACAAGTTTTCTCAGTCGTCCTTCGGTATTTTTGCTCCGGGTTTTTTTCATCATGTTTCTTAGAAAAAAAGCTAATTCCGTTAGGCAAATCGTTTTTTGATAACTCTTACCGATTTTGAGAAATGACGTCCGAAAAGTAGGTCAGAACATAAAAAGTTCTCCAAATTCAACGTGTGAATTATCAAATAAGTGTAGAATTATCTCAGGAATCCGAATCTGCAAACAAAATTTCGATCCGACTACCGGTTCAGAAGTTATAGCATTTTGAAATCTCAAAATCGCTAAATTTGGTGCCCCATGTTAAGTCAATGGGGAAAAAGACTTCTTCGAAGTGTAAAATACGAGATATAGACTGAGTACAGCTTAACGTAATGAAAGCCTATAAAAGAAGGGGACCTCGAAGGCTATCTAGCTTTAAAATTTGGACAGCAAAATGCCTAGGTCAAAATCTAGGTCAAATTTATAACATTTTCTTATTTTTACGATTCTGACACTACACTTAAATAATTTGCTTCAAAATTTTGTATACAGGTAGCAAAGAGTGTGCTTATAGTGATAGCCTTTTGCCGTCAGAAAGTATTTTGACCCACTTTTGAGATATGGTGTCCGAAATGTAGGTCAAACTAAAAAGTTAACCAAATTTAACATATGAGCTATGAAATAAGTGTAGAATTTTCTCAGGAATCTGAATCTGCAAACCAAATTCCGATCCGACATCTGGTTCGAAAGTTATGGCGTTTTGAAAATTTTGAGAAAAATTGATCTGTTGATATCCTGATAGAAAGTCAAGGAAAAAAGATTTTTTTGAAGTGTAAAATACGAGATATAGATTGAGTACAGCTTAAGATAATGAATTCCTATAAAAGAAGGGGACCTCAAAAGCTACCTAGTTTCAATATTTGGACACCAAAATGCCTAGGTCAAAATCTAGGTCAAATTCATAGTTTTTCCTTATTTTTGCGATTCTGGCACTACACTTTTAGGATTTGCTTCAAAATTTTGTATACCTGTAGCAAAGAGTGGGCTAATAGTGTAAGCTTTTTGCCGTCAAAGAGTATTTTGACCCACTTTTGAGATATGGTGTCCGAAAAGTAGGTCAAAATAAAAAATTCTCCAAATTTTACATATGAGTTATGAATTAAGAGTAGAATTTTCTCAGGAATCCGAATCTGCAAACCAAATTTTGATCCGACTTCCGGTTCCAAAGTTGTGGCATGTCCAAAAAGTAGGTCAAAATAAAAATTCGCCAAATTTAACGTATGAGTTATGAATAAGGGGTAGAATTTTGTCAGGAATCCGAATCTTTAAATCAAATTTCGATCCGACTTCCGGTTTGAAAGTTATGGCGTTTTGAAATTTCGAGAAAAATCGATCTGATGTTATCCTGATAGAAAGTCAAGGAAAAAAGATTTTTTTGAAGTGTAAAATACGAGATATAGATTGAGTACAGCTTAAGATAATGAATTCCTATAAAAGAAGGGCACCCCAAAAGCTACCTAGTTTCAATATTTGGACACCAAAATGCCTAGGTCAAAATCTAGGTCAAATTCATAGTTTTTCCTTATTTTTGCGATTCTGGCACTACACTTTTAGGATTTGCTTCAAAATTTTGTATACAGGTAGAAAACAGTGTGCTTATAGTGTTACCCTTTTGCCGTCAGAGAGTATTTTGACCCACTTTTGAGATATGGTGTCCGTAAAGTAGGTGAAAATAAAATGAGTTATGAATTAAGGGTAGAATTTTCTCAGGAATCCAAATCTGCAAACCAAATTTCAATCTGACTTCCGGTCAAAAATTCCTACTAACCTACCTACTTACCTACTCGGCTACCTACTTAGCTACCTACTCAGCTACCTACTCAGCTACTTACTCCGCTACCTACTCAGCTACTTACTCAGCTACCTGCTCAGCTGCTCACTCAGCTACCTACTCAGCTACTTACTCAATTACTTAATCATCTTCTTACTCAGCTTCCTACTCAGTTACTTACTCAGCTCTTTACTCAGGTAAATCAATCTGGAGTCTTAAATTGAACTTTGTTCAATTTACAAATCTAGTTATTATTATTATTATTTTTTTTTTTCTTATTCTTCCTCCTTACAAGATTTCTCACCAACTAGAAGAACTTACTTTAAGCTGCTTACATGATCAACTAGGGAATGTATCTGGGATTATGGGAAATTAGGTCAAATTTTTATCTAGGTCAAAGGTCAAGAACTAGGTCAAATCCAGTACTTTGTCACTTTTTCCCATTATCTTGGTCGTCCTTCAATATTTTTGATCCGGTTTTTTTTCATTGTGTTCCTCATAAAAAAGTAGAAAAGCTAGGGTCGATTTAGTTTTTAGGTATCTCAAACCGATTTCGAGATATCCGTGTCCGAAAACGAGGTCCAAAAAAAAGTTCTCCGAATCCAATGTCCAGGATATCAGTCTTATAGGAAATTTTCTCAGGATTCCGAATCTGAAAACCAAATTTCGATCTAACTTCCGGTTCAGAAGTTATGGCGTTTTGAAAATTCAAAAATCGCTAAATTTGCTGCCCCATGTTAATTCAATGGGAAAAAATATTTTTGAAGTGTAAAATACGAGATATAGACTAAGTACAGCTAAACATAATGGAATCCCATAAAAGAAAGGGACCTCAAGACCTTCTTTTCATAAAATTTTGGACACCAAAATGCCTAGGTCAAAATCTAGGTCAAATTCAAAGTTTTTCCTTATTTTTGCGATTCTGACACTACAGATTAATTATATTCTTCGAAATTTTGTATACATATAGCCAAGAGTGTGCTTATAGTGGTAGCCTTTTGCCGTCAGAAAGTATTTTGACCCACTTTTGAGATATGGTGTCCGAAAAGTAGGTCAAAATAAAAATTTCTCCAAACTCAACGTATGAGTTATGAATTAAGAATAGAATTTTCTCAGGAATCCGAATCTGCAAACCAAATTTCGATCCGATTTCCCGTTCGGAAGTTATGGGGTTTTGAAATTTCGAGAAAAATCGATCTGATGGTATCCTGATAGAAAGTCAAGGAAAAAAGATTTTTTTGAAGTGTAAAATACGAGATATAGACTTAGTACAGCTTAAGATAATGAATTCCTATAAAAGAAGGGGACCTCAAAAGCTACCTAGTTTCAATATTTGGACACCAAAATGCCTAGGTCAAAATCTAGGTCAAATTCATAGTTTTTCTTAATTTTTACGA